AATTAATTTTCCAAGTGAGCAAACATTATTTTGTAGTCCTGTAAGCCTAGGGAGAAATCTAAAGGTAGTGAATAGCAGTGTGTTTCTAATTTTCAAAAGAAGATTAAAAGGGCCCTTGGTCCTCATTGTTTAGCTACTTCAAGCCCTATCGAAAGAATAAAACCCAAATTAGCACAAAAAATAAATTTTCACTGTCCTGGAAAATAAGGAAGCAAGGGATAGCTTTTGTTTACAGTCAATTAGTAAGAATAAATTTTATGTCTTATTGATGAAGTAACAAAATGAATGTAAGATAAAGTACTCTAGATTCAGTTCCTTGATAATGATAACGTACTTGGTGAAACTTCCTACTATACCAACTTAAGATAGCTTAGGCAATAAGTCGATTGAGAACTTCCAATGGATGGAAAAATATATAAGTTAGTGAAAGCTATATGAATCAGAGGTAGAACCAATTAAATGTCCATGATTGAGAAAAGAGAATGTGCACTAAGAAAACAATTAAATTTCTGAACATCTGAATTTTGAATTATAGCAACTACAGGAACATAAGATGAGATCTCAAAAGATAAGAATTATCTGCAGAAAGAAAAAATTCATTGATCCTGGGATCAAAACTTAGATGAACATTATTTCAGAAACCCTGGGATAACTCTGGGTGTAAGGAATAGGTTCGAACCCACTTGATAAAGTCAATGATACAATATGAAAACAGAGAACTACTGTCCTCTGAAGATTCCAGAACAAATACAGCAGAGAAGGGATGTCCACCTTGACTTCTCGCAAGCCTGATTTTTACGGATCTCATTCTCCAACATGGAAAACAAAAACACAAAAATTTATCATGTCCCTAATGGTCCAAAGAATTCTTAGAGATCTGACAGGCTCTCCTAGGGGCTGTTACTGGCTCATTCTGTTCCCTTCAACACAGAGCCCAAGTTCTCCTCTTGGGTGGTTTGGGAACTTTGTGTTGCCTATAGTCATAATGATTCGTAATTATGCAACCATCAAAGGAGAATTTTCTGGTTTGCCTAGTCTAGACAACATCTTCAAAGTGAATGTTGAGGTTGTGAGACATCTGAACCAGAACCAAATACCACACATCACTGCTAGAGATACAGCAAAATACCCAGTGGATGAGTCGCAGGATGCTAACGGCTTTTGTTGCTGCTAGTGAACGTCAATATATCTGTGTCAGTTATTCTTCTCTCCAATCCACATAAGGAACTATGAGTTCATTTGGAAGATGCCACACAAATAAAACAAAATCTGCTGGCCACCCCAAAGTTATCTCAAAGTGTGGCATTCCCCAGGACTGGCATTGTAGCACAGAGGATTAAACCACCAGTCCATACAGGTATAGGTTACAGTCCCAGCTGTACCACTTCTACCTCAGAGCTCTACTGAAACACCTGAAAGCAACAGATGATGGTTCAAGTGCTAGAATTCCTGCCACCCACATGGGAGACCTGGATGGTGTTCCTGGCTCCTGGCTTAAGCGTGGCCTGCACCAGCCACTGTAACCATTTGTGCCTTAAGCCAGCAAGTGGGAGATTTCTCTCTCCTCCTTTCCCTTTCTTCTTTCTTTCTCGCTTCTCTCTCTCTCTCTCTCTCTCTCTCTCTCTCTCTCTCTCTCTCTCTCTCTCCCTGCCTTTCAAATAAATAGGTAAATCTTTTAAAAAAAGATTTTTTTAAAAAAAACAATTTGTGCCTATTCTCAACATTCTGCCCATGTACTTCTTTTTAACAACTTTTAGTTATTTATTTGTTTTCATTGTATTTGGAAAGTAGAGGCAGAGAGAGAGAAGGTGATCTTCCCTCTACTGGCTCACAACCCAAATGCTCAAAAGAGCCAAGTCTGTGCAAAGCCAAAGCTACGAGCTGGGAATTCAATCGGTCTCCCACACTGGTGGGCAGGGACTCAAGGACTTGGGCCACCATCTTCTCTCCCAATGGGTGCGCATTAACAGGAAGCTAAAACCCACAGTGGAGCCAGAACTCAAACCAGGCATTCTATTACAGAATGCAGGTGTCCCAAACTTAACCACTGTGCCAAATGTCACCCCCTTCATCTCTTAAATGTCCTAACTGCCTATCCTCACCACAGTAAAATCCAATTCTACCCTGAGTTGCAGAACAGACAAACCATATTCAAACGACAGCAATGTATAAGATTCAACACTTACCATCATCTCATATTTGGAATTTATTTAGGAAATGAAAACTCATTCTGTGGTTCCAGAAAAAAATTAATAAATGTCTCTAAATAGATGGTAATTTCATGTTTATCTTCAGAGAGATTTAGCTGCATTAGCAGCACTATTTCCCAACACCCATAATCTTCTAAATTGACTTATCTGATGCTCTTAGCATCTATTTGTTTGTAGACTTAAGCCTAACTACACACCCTTTTGAAATGCTCTCTGTGCTTGTGAATCTAACTAATATCATTTTGTCATTTGCTGCCATTTTTCTCAAGAAACAATATAGGGCAGGAAGAACCGTGTGGTACTGCTTCACATCAACCTCATGCTTTGATGCAAAATACAGAGGAGACATAAGGAAGAGAGCAGAAGGGAGGAATGAAGCTCTCTCCACATGAAAACCTTGCATGGTAGGCAAACAGATGCAATGTAAGAGGACAAGGTGTGGAGTCAATAGGAAATAATAGAAGAGTCTCTTGGTAGAAATGAGAGCTTCTGAGTAGTAATTAAGGGACTCAGACTTGGTTTGTTCCCTTTCATCAATGCTTTTCCAGAAACCTCGTCTCCATTCTGTCCCTGGCATTCTTAACTCAGCCAACCTTCTCTGGATTTTGTTTAATTGTCTTGCAGAAATCCAAATAAAAACAGCAAATTATTATGCTTTCTTCAAAACTGTCAATAAGTCCAAATTGTGTTGGACCATACTTGAAAGGGCTCTGGGGGAGACAGCCACTTCTGAACCACAGGCTCTCTGTATACCATGTGACCCACCATAACTGGGTTCTTGGGGAGAGTTCCTGCTGTTCCACTTTCGTTCAAGCTCCCTCGTCATCCAACTGGGAAAGCAGCAGAAGACTGCTCATGTTCTTGGGCACCTGTCACCGACGTGGGAAACTCGGAGTTCCAGCTCCAGGCTTCAGCCTGGCCCAATCCCAGCCACGGCGACCATTCGGGGAGTGAAACAACAGAAGGAAAAAGAGAGAGAGAGAGAGAGAGAGAGAGAGAGAGAGAACGCCTTTCTCTCAGTTGCTCTGCCTTTCGAATATATAAATCTTTTCAAAATTGTGCTCATTTCTACCAAGAGTGCTTTTCTTGTGGAATCTAACTTCATGCTGGAACGGAAAGGGAGAGTGCACATACACAGGTATGTGTAGTGTGTTCTTGTTACATTCTCTTTCGCTCTCACTCTCGCTCTCAATTGCATATGCTTAGCTCCTGAGCAAAGGTCTCTTACCTCTCATCCCTGTAAAGCAGGTTTTGAACTTTGCAACGAAATGCCAACCAAATCTCCGTAAATACGCTGGAATGCAACCTTGTGTGAATTGCTTGGAAACAATTGTCCTCATTTCGTCCCAGCAGAGCCTCCTCCACCGGTCCGAGCCAAGGCAGCCAACCCTGCAGACTGCGGGCATGTGTTTCCTCATGGGACAACCCATCAGACCCCTGCCACTGGGACCCAATCCACGTCCTTCCAAGGACGCTCAGGGCCAGTCTCCCGTCAAGCGCGTGGGACCAGTGGCAACACCTCCTCCAACTCATACCCTCGCTGTCCTTGGGCCGCCCAGAGTCCCCACGCCCAAGAAGGCGCCTCCATGTGTGTTCGCCCTCGCGCATCTCCGCCAGGGCAGTCTGGACAGCAGCGCAGCATAGGCTCCTTGGGGAATCAGCTCCAGGGCCAGTATACGCACAGGGCTAGCCCGGCCTCCCGCTGCCCTTAGCTCCTCACCTGCAGCTTTTCCCTGTATCCTTGCCCCTTGAGTTGCCCAGAACAGACTGTTTTACCAGATTCCCTCCCCCCGCCCCCCCGACCCTTTGGCGTACCAGCAAGGGAAGCAAACCTCCCCCTGGGGATTTGCCCCAAGTGGCAGGGCAGGGGTAAAATAAGCTTTGTTATTGGGAGGAGCAGAGTTACGAATGCCGTGTGTGTGTGTGTGTGTGTGTGTGTGTGTGTGTGTGTGTGAGAGAGAGAGAGAGAGAGAGAGAGAGAGAGAGAGAGAGAGTTGTTTTGCAGCGGGGCAGCGGAAAAATAATAAGCAGGGACGAGAAACAAGCAGAGGCTGAGGCTGGTGCCCCCAGCTCCCCTCGGGACCTCTGGTAGCCGTGCGCTCCGTAATTCCATTTCCAGAGCCGTACAGATTTCCACAAACAATGACATCACTCGGGCGCCGCCGGCCTGCTTGCAGCTGGGGGGATTTTCCTGGGTGCGCGGCGGCCGCCGAGGCGGAGCTGCAGGAGCGCGCCGGCTGCGGAGGGGACGGGGGGCGCGGGCTCGCGGCGCCTAGGCCCTCCCCTTCTCTCCCTCCGCGGAGGTGGCCGGCCGGGCCGGGCCGGGCCGGGCTGGGCTGGGGGCGGGCAGGGGCGGCCCAGGGCGGGGCCCACCACTTCTCCAACCCTCATTGGCCGCGGGCGGGCGCACGTCAGCCGGGCTGGTGCTCTCCTCCAGCCCCTAGGGAACTGGAGCCGAGGAGGAGCTGAAAATGCAGATTTAGCATCAAGCACAGACATACACTCGCTCTTTCTCTCTGGTACACACAGCTCCCCACGCTTGCACCCCTTACAGCGAGCCGGGTCGCCGGGCCACCCAGCTTTTCCCTCCAGCCAGGAGCCGGAGGGGAACGCACACTTGATTTGCTGCTCTTTAACCCCCTGTTCCGTCTCTTTCTCGACACAAAGATTTTAAAGAAAGAAAAAGAAACTATAAATATATATATATTTTTTATTTGCACCTTCCCTCCGGGTCCCCCTACTTCACCAGCCTGCGCGCCTCGGAGCCGCACTTTTCGCTCCCAAAGGAGGATGAAGGGTGGTTGTATCTCCCGCTGGCAGGCGGCCGCTGGGCTCCTCCTGTGGGTCACGGTTTTTGCATCCTCCGAGAGAGCAGTCTTCACGAATCATTTTCTTGTGGAGTTGCATAAAGGGGGAGAGGAAGAAGCTCGCCAAGTTGCAGCAGAACACGGCTTTGGGGTCCGAAAGGTAAGCTCTCTCGTGCATTTCGCATGTCGTTTGCCCAACGACGGGTAGCCCTGCGCAATCTCCATGCAGATTTGCAAGTTTTTCTCTTTCTCCTACGATGCAGATACTCTGCCATCGGCTCCTCCAACACGACATTGCCTCCGGTGATCTCTCACGGGTTATGTAATTAAAATGCCCTTCATCTGTACCAGTAAGGTCATCAAAATAATTTATTGCTCTATGACTTGGGGGCAAAAATAAGGCCACGTCTTTCAAAGGATGCTGTGCGCCCGGCTGCTGTCCGAGGTACCAAGTTCTCCAGGCTGCCTGGAGACAGACGGATGGAGCCCTGCACAACCGGGCTTGGCGTCCACTACCCCGCCAGGGACGACTCCCCTCCAAACCCCACCTCTGGTGAAAGAACAGTTTCAGAGCCACCGGGCCCAAAGCTTGGACGGTGCCCTCAGCGACCCCGCGCTGGGAGGACTTTCCTCCTTGGGACTTCGGTCCCTGCTCTTTCCCGGGAAAAGCCGCTCCAGACCGGGAGGATCTGACATAAGAGCTGGTCTCTCCCAAATCTGGGCGGAACTTCTGAGCCCTATTCCTCCCCTCACCCTTACCCCCTCCCCGCCTATGACTGCCCACCCCTGGATCATGCTCGTGGTTGGCTCCCTGGTCCTCCACTAGCGGCAGGTGTGGACTTTGAGTGGAATTCTCCACGGAGACGCGGAGGTGTCCCCTTCAGATGCGTGGGCAGCCAGCCTGGCTTTCCCACGACAGCGTGGGAATCCCCGTTGCCCTAAGTTGTCAAGAGTTCAACTGAGCAATTAGTGAAGGCTCCGGGTCTCCGATGCCTCTAGCCCCTTTGCAGACGCAGGGTGACCATTCTGAGACGACTTGGAGGAGAGTGCTGGCTGGGGACCGTGGCTGACATGCTTGCTCTTCCTTGGAAATATCTGTAATGGGGATCGCGAGTGTCCTTAGGGAACCTGGCCCGATTGCGATGCAGTGGGGGTTAAGGAGGTGCAGATCTGGAGCGAGGGGACACCAACAGACAGAAGGACACGATGTGGCTACCAGAGGCTGTGCGAGAGAGATTCCACGCCCCAGGAAAAGAGGCGGGACGTAAGCGCTGGGTGCTTCTGATGTTTGCTTTAACCTGGGGCTCCGACCAACTTCTTCTGTCCCTCCTTCCCACGCCTCTGGCTCCTAGCCCAGCCATCACTACCCCCGCAGATGCAGCGGGCTCTCCCACCTCCCTGCGATTTCGCCCCCGAGCTGATTCCTACCAAGTGCCCTGTCTGCCTTTGGCGCGCGGGTGGGTCTCGCAGAAGCGAACTTGTTGCTAGCAGGAGGCGTGGGTGGAGCAGGGGCGATAAGGCGCCAGTGGAGGGTGCAGCTCGCGAATGTAGCTGCCGAGCGCCTGGGGACCGTTTCAAGAACACCCCTCAACACAGTAAAGGAATATATTCTGCCTTATTACCCTGTGCTAAACTTGGGGCTGGGGGCGGGGAAGGGCGTTAGAAACACAGTGCTGATTGTCATTAGGGAACAAGTGTAGGAACACTGAGGTGCTGTGGTCCTTACATGAATTTCTCATCTGATCTGGCAACCCTTAGAGGAGTACTATTAATGAGACTGATCAGGAAACGGGTTCAGACAGAAGCCCAAGTTAAAAATAGGTAAGGATTGAAAAACTGATCTTTCTGAGTTGAATCCCATGTTCTCTTCCTCCTTGGTCCACAGGAAGCCAGGTGCTGACAGCTATTCTGGGAGTTAGGATATGCTGAGAATGGATGTGGCCCTGGATTATTTCATCCTTGGGTGTAAAGGGCTGCGGCTGATACAGAAAGACCTGTGACTCGCTCCTCTAGGCATGTACCGTTGCGTGGTGTGGGTACTGTCCTCATTAGTTTTATCTCCTCTTTGCTTCTCCCTTTTAAAACTGCTCTTAGGCTCTGACCTCAAAAACTTAACCAAATCTTACTGTAGTGGAGAATAATGCCCTAACTTACGAATTTACCCAGAGGTTACTCACTGTTCCATGCAGCAATAAACAGATTATTGAGAAATTCAGTTAGTTTGTTACTTGGGGGGCGGGGGGCGAGGGTCTAAGGATAATACAAGAATCATTTCTATACCTTAATCCCTTAATCTTTAAATCTCAGGGAGCTTGTCCTTTTGAGGCAAAACCAAATAACTAGGCCTCTTACTACCCCATTCTTCCTGGGAGAGGAGCCCTGATTTTATTCAGACACCCAGATCTGAAGAAATGGATTTTTTTTTCCCCCTGGCCATCTCTCTTCACCTCTCCATAGTTCGACAGGTGGTAACCTCTAACCTAAATCCAGTGAGGTAACAGTCTGACAGGATACTCCCACCCTGATGAGTCTGCAGGGTGTAACTGACACCTGTCAGGATAACCCTGCTTTTTCTTTGGACTCAGTTCCTGTCCACCTTTCAAGATCTGAACCGCAGAACCCCCTTGACTCCATTGCACTAAACATGTGGGGGACCAATAAAGAGAAAGTCTGCACTACAGAAACTAGTGTGTTCCACTGCTTGCCTGCATCATTTCACACAAGTAAATACATTTCAGGAGAGAGGGGACTGCTACTCTGGAAATGGAACTACTAGGGATGAGAGCATCTGGTTTCCTCCGATAACTACTCCCTCTCTGTTCTTGCCAAAGGAAAGTGCCTTAGCTGTACTGATTAGTTCAGGCTTCTCAAACATTGTTTTCTGGTCTTTTTCTGTACTTTTACATACATTTGTTACTCGCTGTGCATTTGAAACCTTCAGTATGTCCTTCCCCTATCTTACTCTGATTTCAAGCAGCATCCCAAACTCCCTGCTTCTCTGTTCCCCCATCCCATACAACATGTCAGACACCAAATATTCTCAGTGATTATTTATTATTGGCCCTTGTGAGGAGTCAGAAATATAAGCTAGCTGAACCTGCTATTTTTCCTCAATTGTGCCACAGTAATCTCACAAGCCTATGGAAGGAATAACTGCATCACCCATAAGTCTCAACTAAAACTCTTAAAGCACCAAGAGGTTAAGTAACTGATAATATCTGCTAAGTGAAAAAACTCATTTAAAATAAAAAATTGCTTGACTAAAAAATAATTTTTCTACATCATGCTCCTGAATGCCTCTTGAAGGCACGGTTTTAGATTTGTGATATTTTTCCTTTCATTTTAACTTTTTGTATACTCGCTATTTATCTGTTATTAACATAGAAACATAAGTCATCAAATAATGCTTATGTTCATGTTCTTATTCAAGTTCACTTTTCCCAGAAGAGACAAGGCATATGAATTTTTACAGCCTCTATATATAGCATGGTGACCTGAATATGAAGTATTCAATAAATATTTATTGATTATTTGATATTTCCAATACCATGAGCAAAACTGCTCATTTTCTCTCTAAAACGGAGTAAAAATACTACAAACTTACCACCACCACTTCCACAAAAGTTTATGTAGATTGAAATTTTCTATTATATCATGACCTGGTCCTGGCCCATATATATGCTATGTCCGTTACAGAAGATACACATCTTGAGGAAAATGAGTTTACAGTGATCACAGACATGGTACCGCAAAGGGTGTCATAATAATCCAAGTGCTACTACTTTTAGTTCTATTAAAACATAAAACAAAAATTATTTATTAAAGCAAAAATGTTGAAATGTGATAAAAAAATCATAAAAGCCAGAACAAATTTAAGGCAAAAGAAAAACCTTATAATTCAGTATTATTGTTTCATTATAGTCTGCTCTATTGATTGATTGATTGATTATTTACTGAGGGCTGAGCCTGGTTTGATTATACAAGTAAAGTAATGGAAGTTTTATATGTGTGAAAATGTTAAAAATTATGTAGTTATTTGAAAGGCAAATACAGAGAATGGAGAATGAAGGAGAGAGAGAGAGAAGGAAGGAAGGAAGAAAGGAAGAAAGGAAGGGAGGAAGGAAAGAAGGAAGGAAGGAGGAGAGAGAGAAATTTGCTGGTTCACTCCTCAAATGGCCACAACAGCCAACGCTGGGCCAGGCTGAAGCCAGGAGCCAGGAATTCCAACCAGGTCTCCAACATGTGTGGCAGGAGTCCAAACACTTGGGCCGTCTTCCACTGCTTTCCCAGGTAGTAGCTGGTTAGGAAGTGAGTAGCCAGGTCTTGAACTTGCACTCATATGTGATGCTTATTTTTAATTCTCAAGTCTGATAACAATTATACTGTCAAGTACTGAATGTAAATTTCTGATCATTTTGCTTTCATGGAAGTGTAGTATCACTTAGGAAAGAGCTCAGCTTAATAAATTTGTGCAAACAGTGCATACGTGTGTAACTACTCTAAAGTAAAAAAATGTTTTGCTTATCTGGGTGGTTTTCAGGTTTGGACCATTATATAAATGTTGTTTTTCTGCATGCTGAAGTACAGTTGATCCTCCATGTCTGGGAACTCAGCTTCTATGGACTTAACCAAATCTTAAAAAAATATTTGGGAAAAAAATCAACTCTGCACTAAAAGCATGCAGCCTTTTTCCTGTCATCATTTCCCCTTCAGCACAGGGTAACCATGGTTCTTACAACATATGCCTTCCATTAAGTATTGCAGGCAATCCAGAGATGATGTCAAGTATATAGAAGTATGTGCATAAAGGATATGCATGTCCTGCACCATTTTGTGCATGACCTGCACTTCCAGAGGTTTGATAATAACAAGTTGACTATTTAGCAAATACTCTTCTCCTGGAAAGCAGCATGGATTGACTTCCATAGCCATGATAATTGACTGGATGATGAATCTATACCTAGTCCATCAACAACTCATCCATAGGATAACCAAGGTCCATGAAATGATATGGTTCAAATATTTCAGTGAACTTCATTTAGAAGGAATCATAATTTTCTCAGCCAATAACACAGATTCCCACAGGAAATTTTGCTGGCTAGTTGGTATAGAAAAGAGAATAGAATCCATTCAGACAAAGGGGAGGCTCAAACATTTTGT